CCTCTCGTTTCCAATTTTTTTCCGTTCCGCTTCTGACACCAATTTGTTACGTCTCCGTTTGTTAGTTGATTTTTCCGTAACTTCGTTCCGACGAAACTTTAGCGACACAAGTCCTTACTTAATAAAACTGGTTTATTCTTTCTGAATATAACTTTACCGATACACTTATTTTCAACAGTCGCTCTATAACAAACGTTATAACAATACTCTCTGACTGCAGTTCAATTACTCAATACCTACACACACATTATTATTCACGTCACGTTGTGACCATCTGATATATACCAGACTACCCTATATCTAGTAATCTCCCGACAATTCACGAAGGTGCAAGATATTTCCAGAGAGCAGAGGGCGTGACACTAGTCACGTGACCTCGCTGACGCAACAATACTAAGCTTACGGCTATGCCACTGAGGGACGAAATAAGATTAAAAGTAAAAGACTAATATATAATGTATAACATAGTTGTAAAGAAGATTTGCGCTAGCTATTAAAAGGAAAAAAGCTTCAGTTAATTACTAAAAATCCTACTATCAGTTTCCAAATGCTAGTAATTGCTTACTTAAAGCTCAAATTTGAACTGTGAAATTTCTAAGGTTTTTATTTTTCAATAACCCGTCGCTAGAGTTTTGAGAGTAGAACTGCTAACCTTCAGTATCCAACTGCATTCATTATAACGTATGTTGTTAGTTTTTGTCAAAAAAAAGATTACACAGGTATCTATAAGGTAGCTTATCAAAACTCAAAACAAACTTACATCTGCTTTTTTTAAAGGATATTGTTTAAATCTTTAGCTAGAAGCGTTAACATATTAGTTTGCAGTTTTACTAAAAAAAATTTTTTAGTGTTTTATGACAAAGTTTGCTAATGTATATTGTGTTTATACACGTACTCGCTTATTTAAAAAAAGTGTTTTATTATTATTCTAGAACTTGGAACTCTTCTTGAAATTAGATATGTTATATGAAATAATCTAGATTAATTTTAGATTGTTTCGTCGATGAGTTAAAGGCTTCAATTTTTAGGGCATGAAAATATTAGAACAATATTATCACTCTACGAATTAAAATACAAGTTTCCACTAAATATGAAAAGAGACACATTTAGAAACGTTATCAAGCACAGTTTATGTAAAAATTATTATGTCATGTTAGTTTATTTCAACTTAAAGCGAAATTGATGACATCACTGTACAGTCAAGTAAAACCTGTTGTAACGCTAGTGAACATTCCAAGACAGCACATACAACGTTCTATTATAATATATCAAATCACAGCACTGACGAGTCTTGCTGAGGCATTTGTGTAAATATTTAGGTTTCATAGATATCGTGAAAGAATTAAGAAATCCATTCATTTTATGTCTTAGTTTGAGAATATTTGTTGTGTTGGTGTGGATGAATGTAATATCACCTGTTTCATTACACTGAAATTTCAATTTTATGTAAACAATTTCTTAGTGCAACATTATACGTTTTTTTTATTGTGATCACGAATCATCACGCTATTCATCTGATGGTTTAATACATCTGCTTTAGAAATCTTCACCTTGATTAATCTTTCGAATTTAGCTGGAATTTGATTATGCTGTGATAACTAAACGTATTCGGTCATAATGTGTATGAAATGTCTTGAGCAAAGTTACCAAGAAATTTTACACTCTGAATACTAGTTTTCAAATAACTTTTAAGTTATTGTATTAATTAATTGTTATAAGAAACTTCTCCAACCAATTTAGCCCGTTTTAGAACTGTCTCTAATTTTATCTTTTCTACTTCCGATTTCAAAAGTAAGAAATAAACATTTACTTCATCTGAACTAGTGAAATGGGCATGTGCTTAATTTGTTAATATATTGCTTTTGAATAAATCACTCGTGTTCACATTTGTTCTCCTACGATATCATTACTTATGGCTATGAAATATAACAGTACTAAAGATACATTAACTGTGTTGCAATTCGAAAGATGGCGCTATACCTGCGCTTTTTAATTGACTATTCTCCGCAACAGTATTTGAACTTAATGTTTACAATGATCTTTCCCATTAATACAACTTTAATTGCACAAAAACAACAAAATTGTTTAAAAAACGACCTTCCTAACTATAATTACGTTTATGTATAGTTTTCTAGAAACTAAAAGAAATTGCATATGAGCATGCCCCCCAGTAGAATAGCAGTATGTCTGCGGACTTACAACGCCAGAATCTCATTGTGTTGTTTTTTGCTTAACTTCAAACAAACATATGGGCACTGTGGCATAATTGAAAGAAAAGTTGCCCTTATTTTTTTTTTTCGTGGATGGATAAATATTTGTCCTTTGTTGTGAAACAGTTAAGGTAATCATCAAGACGTGTTGTTTGATTGGAGTTTATTGGCGCAAATCTGCACCAAACAACCAGTATAAAAAAAAAGTAAAATACAACAAAAGCTATAAAAAAAACAGGCTATAAGCTAAACAATGCCCCAACATCAGGTAAAAACTAATTAGAATTAAAAGGGCCAATGACCCGTAAAAACCTAAAAAGCACGATCAATCTGGACAGTGTCACGATCGCCAATGACACTGTCCAACGTTAAAGGTAAACCCTTAGAAAAAACGTCGAAAATAGTGCTGC